GAGGGGATGGACCGAAGACAGTGACCAAGCCATTTGTCTCGTGCCATCCCTCTCCAGCCTTCCACAAACTTTGGGCAGGGACACCACTCCTACCCCCTGGCTAATACCACTCCATGGACCCAACCTTCATCACTTTATCTCACTTCTCTTTAAACTCTGTTCTAGTTCTAGCCTTCACAGCCTCCTGTAGCAAGGAGTTCCACAGGTTGACTCTTTGCTTTGTGAAGAACAACTTTCTGTTACTAGTTTGAAGCCTGCTACCCATTCCTTTCCTTTGGTGTCCTCTAGTCCTTCTATTATGGGAACTAATGAAGAACTTTTCTTGATGCACCCTCTCCACCCCACTCATGCTTTTATAGACCTCAATCCTATCCCCCCTCAGTCTCCTCTTTTCTAAGCTGAGAAGTCCCAGTCTCTTTAGCCTATCTTCATATGGGACCTCTTCCAAACCTCTGATCATTGTAGTTGCCCTCCCCTCTTCCACCCTCTCTCTTCCTCTCTCCCACCTCCTTTTCCCAGTATCCCCCAGTTTTGTTCAATAGAGAGTCTATTTTTGAACACATGTTTTTTTTTTTTTTATTTTGTACATCAGGAAGGGGGGCTAGGGAAGGGTAAGTGGAAGGAGGTGAGGGAGGAATGGGATACGAGCCCCCGATGGGGAGGACTGGGCTGGCTCTGTGGGCTTCTGGGGGGTGGAAGCTCTCCTGCAGCCCCCCAATTGCCCCCTCTCCCCAGATGGCAGCCTGCGGCAAGTGCAGCCGGTCTGGTGGCCGAGTGGTGTGATGTGCCCAGTGTGGGCACTCAGGGCACTCCAAGCCAGGACTGCTTTGCAAGCGGGGCACCCCTGAGAACTGTCTGTCTGGGGTGGGGGTCGGGTCCCTTTAAGTACAGCCCTCGGCTAGCCTGAGACAGCAGCTCCACGCTCTAAGTCCTCATCTTATGCCCTACTGGCACTGCTTCCGGCCATCCTTAACCCCGGTTCAGAGTCCAGGTGGACATGCTATTTCGAATTAGCAAAACGCTAATTCTAACTAGTTTTTTAGTCTGGATCCGTTAGTTCGAATTAGCTTAGTTCGAATTAGCGCTGTAGTGTAGACATACCCTAATACAGTTTAAAGAGAAGCTAGATAATTTCATGGAAGTTAGGTCCATAAAAGACTATTAGCCAGTGGATAAAAGGGTGTCCTTGGTCTGTTTGTCAGAGGCTGGAGAGGGATGGCAGGAGACAAATCGCTTGATCATTATCTTCGGTCCACCCTCTCTGGGGCACCTGGTGCTGGCCACTGTCGGTAGACAGGATCCTGGGCTAGATGGACCTTTGATCTGACCCAGTATGGCCATTCTTATGTTCTTAATGAATAAGTAATCCTCACCTGATCCATTCCCAGCTGCAGATTCCCAGCTTCTGAGGGAGTGTGTGAGAGAGAAACTATAGTAAATTGCATGTTACCCTCCTTAGTGGTTTCCATCATTTAGGAATACTGAATTTGAGAATATACACTGTATATGACATTCAACATGTTAATAAAAGCTTTTAAAATTAAAATAGGACTTCAATTAATCTTTCTTTTCAGGGAATTCTTGGAGTAAACCTATGGAAGTGACGGCACTTTATTCATTTGAAGGACAGCAACCGGGTGACTTGAATTTCAGAGCTGGAGATAAAATCATTATCAAAAGCAAAACTGATTCACAGTTTGACTGGTGGGAAGGAAGCATCCAAGGACAAACTGGCATTTTCCCAGCCAATTATGTTACTAAAAACTGTAACTGAAATGCATTCAATGGCCTTAATTTTCTTTCTAAACTTTTCTGAAATATCCACTGGATGATGCACAATCAATTTACAATTTCTGTTTTTACAAATTATCCTATACAAATTTTTTATTCTGCTTCCAGTTACAACACTTTTTAAAAAGTTGATTTTTATGAAAAAATTATAATGTAAAAAGATATATTACAAGGATATTTTGATTTTTAATAAGTTATTTTGTCTTCAGTGTTCTTTCCTTGATTGATAATAAATGTACTCTAATAAATTCAATTCGAGCTACTTATCAGTTGTAGTTTTTCTTGACTCTTAGGAAATGTGTGAACATTTATTTCAGAGGAGATTTTGGAAAAGGTGTATATATAACAGAAGAAATTCCATGTTTAAATGTTGGACATTTTTAAAAATGATTTTAGTTACATATGTTTAAAACATTTATCCCTAGGTATATGGGTTAGATGAATAATTTTATTGTCAGTCTAATATCAGTATATTTATTTATAGGACAAATAATTCTATAATTCTCAGGCTCACCAATGGTAGGAGGGTGAGGCAAAGAGGGTAGCTGCCCTGAGGCCCAGGGAATCAAAAAGGTCTGGGACTCCCATCTGCTGCTACCACAGAAGCAGCAGGGTCTTGAGCCCCAGGCCCTTTAAATCATGGCCAGAGCTACATGCAGTCCACTGAGCAACTATGAGGGCTAGCTGGATGGGTGAGGAGCCACTGGCTCAATCTAGGTGGTGCTGACAGCTAGTTGTCCCAGCCCCACCCCTTCCAACCAAGGCCTCACCCCTTCTAGGAGCATGGAGGTTCCCCTCCCCCCACAGTGCCTATTGCCCAAGTGCCCGGCAAGTCTGCCCCCCTGAATATTCTTATATGGCCCTAATTGTTATATTGTCCAAGCACTTTCCAGTAGTGCATTAAAAGCAGTAACTAACATCTGTTGGATGTGATTCATTCTTCCTAGAGGGAGAATTGTGCATGAACTATAATGTTTTGTTCAGTTGGGTGTGTGTGTGTGTGTGTGTGTGTGTGTGTGTGTGTGTGTGTGTGTGTGTGTGAGAGAGAGATATTAGAGAAAAGGCCAAAGTTGAAAAAGTGCAGCTTGTATTTTAAGCAGAGAGTTGTGGGACTTCTGATGCTCTTCAGTTCCCTGAAAAACCGGTTTTCTGCACAGATAAGCTTTCTGAGTGCTCTTGTTAAATATCCATGCGTAGCATCTCCATACCACTTTCCATCCATCGATCTCCACTTGATTTACAAAGGTACATACGTAATTTTATTCCCATTTTATAGATCAAGGAAATTTATTCACAAAAAGATTCTGACTAGTCCAAAGCAACATAATAAGTCAATAACAGTTGGAAATCGAATTCAGGTCTTCTGATTATCAATTCAGTGTTCTATCCATTCCTAGAGTCTTCTCCATTGGAACCGGTACTTTGTTACAACAAAGTCTCTACTCTTTCTGGCATTCTTCTGTACATATTAAAAATCTGACACATAATCTTTCCAGTAACAATGTCTCAGTTAATGAACTGCCCAAAGTATAGCTGTGAATAAGACATTTTCTGCTTTTCCTTCCTTGGCCAAATGATGCTTGTCTACAGATTTTTTCATGAGAGTGGCAAGGTGAAGGATGTTGTGCTAGGCATACAAGAATCGCCCAAGCCACTTATAAAAAGAAGTACACCGTGTAGTAACTTGTTAACATTGCTGGTCAGAAAATAAGAATTGTTTTATTAGAAAAAATTGAGGCTTTGGAATTTGCTTTCATTACACATTAGAACAATACTGAGAACTTTAAAGGAGAGAAAGATCAACCCCCATCCTAGAATATCAGATGTTTAGGACATCTTCTGGGATGTAGGAAACACAGGTCATGTCTACACAATGAGGCACGGTCAAATCTAATATGGGCAGTTTCTGAGCACCGGATTTTGCAAAGTCAAAGGTTCATGTCCTCATTGCAGGGAAGAATCCAATATAATCTGAAATAGTGTGACCTATTAGGGAGCCTACTGTTGACTCTCAGAGTGATACATCGTGGGTAACTTTGCATTCTGGGCTACGCTTCCAGTGTCTTCTGGAATCAAAACTCTGTAGCAGGTGGTTATGGGCTCAAGTTGTCCCATAATGCACTCTTCTAGTCTCTTCCCCCACCTCGTGCATGAGTTCAATGGGAAGAGGTATGTGCTCTCCTTTTTGTGTCTTGGTTTCCCATTCCGGTGCCATAGCAGCGTGAGTATGGAGCCTGTTTTGCAGCGAACCATTCTGATGCTGATGTATGCTGTGGTGTACCAACTGGTGCAGTACTTCGAAAGTGTATGCATGTTGCTCCACCAGGAAGAGGACAAGGATGAATCTCAGCTTGCCGTAGAGTCACTGCTCATGCAAGCCCTGGTGCTGATACAAGCATAACTGCTATTGAATCCTGTGGACACAGTGGGATGCCAGTTTTGGCGCCGAGAGACAAGCTCAAACTGGTGGGACCACATTGTGATGCAGATATAGGACGATCAGCAATGCCTGCAAAACTTCCAAATGCACAAGGCTACTTTCTTGGAACTTTGCGAATAGCTTTCCCCTGCCATTAGGTGCCAGAATACCCAAAGGAGACAATAGCTCTCTGAAAGCATGCAACACCAGACAGCTACCGCGGTGTGGGGAAATCTACAGTGAGGACTGTTGTCATCTAAGTAGCCAAGACCATCAATACCATTCTACCATGGAGGGTTGGGATTCTGGGAAACATGGATTCCATACTTCAGGGGTGAGGAAACTCAGGCCTGGGGGCAGGATGCAGCCTCCAGCTCACCTGGATCCAGCCCTAAAGCATGCAACACCAGACAGCTACCGCGGTGTGGGGAAATCTACAGTGAGGACTGTTGTCATCTAAGTAGCCAAGACCATCAATACCATTCTACCATGGAGGGTTGGGATTCTGGGAAACATGGATTCCATACTTCAGGGGTGAGGAAACTCAGGCCTGGGGGCAGGATGCAGCCTCCAGCTCACCTGGATCCAGCCCTCGAACTCTAGCACTCTAGTTCCCTTGCTGCTCCACCATGGAGCTGGAACATCCAAAATCCATTAGGCTGGGCCTCCTTAGGGTCTGGTGTGTGAGGCGGAATGTGGGGAGTGGGTTTTTTTTCATTTGTGTGTTGTGTGACAGCAGGGGTGATACAGCAGGTGAAAGAGCTTGATGGAAGGGGAAAGAGGCAGAGAGTCAGCAATCCTGGCTAATTAGGGGCAGCTGAGACAGGGCGGCTGCAAAATCAATTAAGGCCCAGGTGAAACTAATTGGGGCTGCCTGGAGGCCTATTTAAGAACTCTCCCTGTGAGTGAGGGGGAGGAGAGCTGAGAAGGAGTTTAGAGAGCTGTAAGGCTGTGTCTACATTGGCAAGATTTTGCGCAAAAGCAACCTCTTTTGTGCAAAATCTTGCCACCAGTCTACACTGGCCGCCAGCATTTGCGCAAGAACACTGACTTTGTAATGTACAAAATCAGTGGTTCTTGCGCAAATACTCTGATGCTCCCGCTCAGCGATAAACCCTCTTGTGCAAGTATTCTTGCGCAAGAGGGCCAGTGTAGACAGCAACGTTAATGTCTTGTGCAAGAAAGCCCAATGTCTAAAATGGCCGTCAGAGCCTTCTTTCACAAGACAGCGTCTACACTGGCACGGATACTTTTGTGCAAAAGCAAATAGAGAGCTGTAAGGCTGTGTCTACATTGGCAAGATTTTGCGCAAAAGCAACCTCTTTTGTGCAAAATCTTGCCACCAGTCTACACTGGCCGCAAGCATTTGCGCAAGAACACTGACTTTGTAATGTACAAAATCAGTGGTTCTTGCGCAAATACTCTGATGCTCCCGCTCAGCGATAAACCCTCTTGTGCAAGTATTCTTGCGCAAGAGGGCCAGTGTAGACAGCAACGTTAATGTCTTGTGCAAGAAAGCCCAATGTCTAAAATGGCCGTCAGAGCCTTCTTTCACAAGACAGCGTCTACACTGGCACGGATACTTTTGTGCAAAAGCAAATCTTTTGTGGAAAGGCATATGCCAGTATAGACACTCTCTTGCGCAAATACTTGTAACAGAAAAACTTTTCTGTTAAAAGTATTTGCGCAAAATCATGCCAGTGTAGATGTAGCCTAAGAGTGTAGAGAGAATTGAGAAGGAGTTTGGAGAGTCGAGGAGGAGTTTGGAGAGAGAAAGACATCAGAGGAGCCAAGAGAATGGCATCAACCTTGTTAAAGACTGCAACAGTAGTCTCCAACCATTTGGAACTACTGGGCACGAGAGGGTGGGGACGCTTGCGCACCCACACACCTATGAGCCACGTGCCTCGGGTAAGCAACCCCATGCACTGCATGGCCACGGGCAGGGCCGCCCATTCGCTGCAAGCCTGGGGCCAGCGCCCTCCAGAGCCACGCGCCCAGAGCCGGCACTCCCCATAGCCAGGCGCCTGGGACTGGCACTCCCCATGTTCTGCGCATCCGGGGTACGGGCGGCCAATTTGCCATGCGCCTGGGGTCGGCGCTCCTCATGCACCTGGGGCTAGTGCCACGTATGCGCAGTGCGCCTAGGGCCGGCACCGCACATGCGCCACGTGCCCGGGGCAGGGCCAGCCTCGAGCACTTGGCAGGCGCACACAAATGCCCCCACGGGCACCGTGTTGGGGACCACTGAACTACAGGGAGACAACATCTCAAACCAAGGCAAGTGAGCTATATACTGTGACTCCTAGACTGTGGGACAGTGGGCTGAACAGGGGTCAGGGGCCCAGGAGTGGGGTTGACCCTGCCACAGTGGCCATAGTAGATGGCTTCACTACAATGGAGTGATAGACAGAACCCACATCCCCATCTTGGGCCCTGACCACCTTGCCAAGAAGTACATAAACCACAAGGGATACTTCTCCATGGGTGCTGCAGGTTCACCAACACCAGTGTAGGATGGCCAGGAAAGGTGCACATTGGAACTTTTTTCCCCCAGACAGAAAAATCCGAATCAAAGTGGAAATGCCTGTTGTGATCTTTGGTGGCCCAGTCTATCCCTTGTTCCCATGGTCAGCCTGGACCAGCAAGGAGGAGTTCAACCACAGGCTGAGCAAGTGTAGAATCGTGGTTGAACATGCTTTTGGATGTTCAAAGGGTAGGTTTAGGAGTCTCCTAACTCAGTTGGACTTCAGCAAACACAACATTACTTTTGTGGTTGCAGCCTGCTCTCTGCTCCATAATTTTTGTGAGAACATGGGGGAAACTTACCAGGC